AAGGAGGATGACTTGCACGAGGGTTTATCCCGATGAAGTGCAATTATACGACTCCTGGTTTACCTATGTTGAGCCAATTATGGCCAGGTCAAGTACATGTGCAAGTAATGAATTATGATTAAGCAAGATGAGATATGAATCATGTATAAGGATACCAAATATGAGTGTTGTGGTCTCACGGTCAACTACATAGTAATTAGGGCTCCCTATGCTATTACTCTATTATGATATGTATGATAGTCACACCTCTCATGTGGTGGTGACTGAAGATTTCTTACGAGATATGACCACACCCAGAGCGGTGTCGGGGTATGACTACACCCATAGTGGTGTGGGGTATGTATGACCACATCCGACGGGATGTTGGGGTATGTATGACTACATCCGACGGGATGTGGGGTATGTTTCCCGGGAGAGTTAATAGCATGGGAGTAGCCAGGCGCCTATGATTAAAACATGATAAGATGCATATGCATAAGTCAATGTGGTTGAGTCTTTTGCCTAGTGGGATGTCGGATGCCTGAGGTCTGATCCTAGTGCTTTGGCTTGTTTGCTAGATGTATGGTAGGGGTATGCTCTGTTATGAACTCACGATGCTATGATTATCTCACTCAGCTATGAGCTGACCCTCTTTATCCTTTATCTCTGCTTATGCCATGTGTAAGCAGATTATCAATAGCAGCAGTAGATAAGTATTAGGTGGGAGAGGAGCAAGAGTTGAAGGCAAGATGAGGTATGGTCTTCAACTATTCTGTGCTTGGACTACTACTCGGGATTTTGGCCAGTGATCCACACCTTTTTGTAAAAAATGTTTTCAGAACATTTTCATGTGCATATTAGCTTTTGATGTAGTGTGAGATATCCACAAGTTTGGAAAGTTGATTATATGTGTATATGTGTGTGGTGGTGTAAGTTGTGATGATTATAGCATGTATCAGTATAGTATGCAGTTGTGTAACATGAAACTGTGACTATGGCTATGAAAAGTCAATGCATATGGCAGTGAGTGTATATGTTTGTCTATGAATGCATGGATTTAGATGAATTATTTTGCAGGATTAGATGGAAGAACTGTTAGCCCATTAAGCGAGTAATTCATGTCGAAATTTTATTTGGGTAAATTTTGATAATTAATGTAACACCCGAGATTATTTCCGCTGCGATTTTATGAACAATATGATTAGGTAATACGTATAGGGTAGGGTGTTACAAAGATTCAATTAAGAAGTTTTGAACTTCATCCTCTTCTCCCATGCAGGATAACAAGCACATACCTCGGGATGACTAATTGTGTGCTTCAATTTCTAATAATAAGCTTTCCACATTGAATTCAGCCTTTAACATTGTATTAGAGGGAAATTAGGTATCCCATAATCAAAATTATATGGACTTTAAACCCATCCATTTTACAGACTTGACCACCAAGTCACTATTTAATCATTTCGTCAAATAATCAACTAAATTATTGCAAGTCCAGTCACATTACACAGTGCCTAACTCCCAAATGACCATACTTGTCATTTCACTTGGTTATTTGCCTTAGCCAAAGTAACATTACTATCATTAAGAATAGTAATAGGTGAGATTGATTTTGTCATAAATTAAAGTCATAAACCAAGCATCTTAACAATAATGCTTTTTCTCTAAGAGAAATCAAGGCCACAAACTTTGACTCCATAGTGAAACTTACTGATGCAAGTTTGCTTTTTAGAGACCCAAGATATGACACCTCCCCCAAGCAAGATGACTTATCTCGATGTTGAAGTATCACCTTTAACATGAGAAATCCAACTAACATCAACAAATTCTTCCAAAATGGATGGAAAGCCACTATAAGTCAATACAATGTGCCTTTGACATATCCGAGTACATGCCTCATTTCATTTCAAATGATGAGAACTATCATTCATCATGTACCGACTTAATTGTTCTATCGCATATGCGATATCTAACAACATGCAAGTCATGCGTACATTGAGCCCCCAATTTAACATGGAATACTTTTAGTTGTAAAACTGATTTCCAGCATTAACCATAATTTTCATACTTGGATCCATTGGGGTCTTTAACTCACGACAATTCCTACTATGGAATTTTTGCAAGAACTTTCTCAATGCAGTAATTTTGAGAGAAGTAATCTTCTTTGTCGTTCCGCTTGACTCAATATACAGAATCACATTTTCCTCCCCCATGTCCTACATGGAGAATGTAAATAACAAAAGTTCACTTATCTTTTATTGGCCCCAAAGATAAGCATGTCATATAAATACAAATGTATGATGACTCCATTACTAGAATCATCATCAATTGTGTATACATTTTGTCTCCTTGGTTTGAAATAACATAAACCACGGGACAAAATCACACCATTAGCCCACTAGACAAATCCAAATTTGTCTAGAACTTCGTAAATGTCTAATAGAGAATAACACAAATTAACCCTTAAGTATGTGACCTACACAAAGGAAATTGTCAATATTTTATTTCTCCATTTCACGAAGTATTCTCTTTCTTCCTCATCCTTGAATCATCCCTCTTCCAAATTACCTTCCGGGTACGGAATACACTATAAGACTAGTACGAAAAAACCCATCCTTTACTGCCATCGATGAAAATCTCATCATCGAACATTCTCATAATTCCATAGACCGGAATCGATTTCTTGTAAAGAGCGGTTCGAGCCATCGTACCGGAAAATATTCTTTTTGATTGTTGGGACTTTAGGGACGAGGGTGTACGTATGATAGCCCGAGACCGGGTGACCAGGATTATGATAGAGTCATAAACTACGTTCACTTTCCGAAAAGAATATTTTCACCCTCCATAAAAGCCTTGAATTACAGAAAATTTCTCATGAGGATAAACTATTACCACTTTAGGTTCTAGACTCAAGAACATTAAAGCATACTTAGATATTTTTGGAAGAAAGAAGAAGAATATGTTTGATGGTGTGTGGCATCATCCACCCCACACATATATTTATAAAGGTCGAATCCATGCATTGTTTCATGAAAGGTTGTCTTTATCCATATGAAAGGTTGTCATTATCCATATGAAGGGTTATCTTTAGCCATACGAAATCTGGTTCTTATTCATATGAAAGGTTGTCTCTATCAATAAGGTTATCCTTATCCATAAAATAATGCAATTGCAACTAGGCCAAATGGATGTGTCCCTCCATGAAATTAGAATATTATTTTGATCGGTCTAATCCCAAACTGATTGGTCGGTCCAACCAAAAATCGATTTCACTTGATTAGTTCAGTTCAACCAAATATCCAACATTTACTCTGTCTCTCCTTTGTTTCGACAAAATCTGAAAAAGTATGTAGATAAAAAAAAGGGATAAATTAGGAAATCTGAGATTTCAAGCATGAGTTCATGGAGAAGAGTACATAGATTAAGTAAAAGAATTAAGAGGGCTAAAATCATCATTACAAATTGGCCCTACAAAATTTACTAATCAAGATTGATTTTCACTAATAATAAAAAAATGTTCAAAAGTCATTACTAATGCCCTGTCCGAAACATTAGTAATCGGCCTCCAAACATGACTGCTAATTCCTTAGAGCATTAGTAGTAAGAAGTAATAACTCTCATAACCACTACAAAGAAATACTTTTTCTATAAGCAATTGATTGTCACAGGCCCTCTAATCATTAACTAAAAACCACCTGAGGGGTCTGCACCCCAATCGAATCATAATACAATCAAGAGTTTAGGGTTGATATGCCCAAGGATGCAATGTAATTTGCAACCATGTTTCCTTCGCTCACTCCAAAACTAAGAGTCATTGAGTTGTCGTGTCCAAACTAAATTGTCCATAGAATCAACTTAATCAACTGATCTATTGAGTAGAGAAGCATAAAATATGTTCACTTGGGATGAGATTAGGTGCTAACCCTTATAGGGGTTAGCACCGTGATAACTAGCAAAAAACGCTACTAAAAACAACGAAATCACTACGGGTTATTATAAAATCAATACAACATCTAAGCTAAATCACTACTAACTCTTGGTTAGGACGGTACTAACTCTTGTACAATTAGCACCGTAACCACTCCTGCAGGAACATTAAAAGTGCACCTGAAGTCACCAAAAGGTCCAAGCCCAAAAGCACGACGGACACGCAAGCCTCTTTGCATGAATGACGTGTAGCTTTAGAAAGTCCAAGTAACCAGGGCCGGTCTGCTACGGCCAGGTGACAGCCCAAGCCTGCTTAGAAATCAGACAGCAAATATACCAGTATGGCAGTATCACATCTCCAAGTTAATTTGTGGATGAAATATCATAATAACATTTCAAAGTTCACGGAACAATTTGGTTAGAAATTCTTCAATTTAATCCACAATCTTTTTTTTCCTCATCTCGTTCAATATAAAGTATAAGAAATAATTACACCGACTATCATATACCGTAAGTTAAATAGACCTATGAGTAAGTGTGTACGAAGAGTAAAACCACATCATTGATTATTTCACAAATAAGGGACCCATATTTCAATATATAAAAAAGTATTATTAATTATACTGTGATTCTAAGCTATAATGGAAGTAACGTAAAAAGGTTTCTACAATTCCAAATAACTAATAATACAAACTATGGTAGCTCTTTGCATACGCCTTATAAAGCAACTGATTTATTTTTTATTTCTCATAAGTGCATTTAAATTTCTTTAGGATTAATAAATGCACGTAATGAGTATAAAAAAAAAAAGATAATCAAAACTACATGGCGCTCGTGCCATGAGTACTGAAATAAAACAAATACATCAATAAAAAGTTTCCCCTCAAGAATGGTCATACTATCACAATTTTATTTTCAAATAATACTTGTAACTTTATGGAAAATAAACATCTATTATTCTTTCTTTTTAGGTCGAAAAAAATATATTAAACAGTATACACAATACACGCTAAAAATCTAATTGAAACGAAAATGATTAAATTTAAATTACAATACTACACGTCACCAACAAGGAAACAAATGGAAACTTCCGTCGAAGGGTATTAGGGTCATTTACTAGCTCCGGAAGCTCATTGGAGGAGAGAGAAACGTAACGGAATCTTGGAACTTGGGAGGCTATTTAAGTCATTTACATAACGAACTCTGAAAGCACGAGCTTCATTGGAGGATAGAATAGAATAACCACTAGCAGAGAAGAGAAAGAGAGGGAAGCAAGCCAGAGTTCTTCATTTCCGCCATTGCTTTTCTTTTCTCCTTCGCCCGCTTTATCTGAATCGATCGCCGACGAGAGCCTTCTTCCTTCCGACTGCCGCAATGGGGTTCGCGGCGAGCGGCGCTTGCCTCCTGCAACCTCAATTTAGCACTTCCGTTTCGTTTCTGTCACCGCCCCCTCCCTTCGCTCCACTGTCTTCTTGCTTCTCTGCAAGTAACTGCTGCAATGGAGGAGGATCCAAGAGAAAGAGAAGAGCCGCGGTGGTTAGCTGTTTGCCTTCGGAGGACCCCAAAGACGTCTTCGACAGAAAGAAGAGAGCAGTTCTGCTAGCAAGCTTCTCGTTTCTTCCGTTCTTGCAGCTCAGGGCCCGAGCTCTCGAGGACCCCGTCGTTCAGAGTGAGTCGATTTCTCGGTTCCTTTCTCTCTTCTAGTAGTCGTTTCCTGCTTTTGTTTGGTATCTTGCGATGGTTTTTGCTTCTTGATTGAATTGGTGGAATGCAATTGGTTTCTGATTCTCAAGTTGGATCGTCGATACTTCTTGCTCGGGCAGTGGCAGCAATTTGTTCGTGGATTTAGGGATTCGTTTCTTGCAGTGCGCTTCGTGAATTGAGATACATTGTTAGATTTCTATCTGTTTGTTAATTGATCGTGCCGCATTCATCTGTTACTATTAGCCTGAATCCAGTTCTAGTTAGTAGTGACTTCTTTCCTTTAGGTTTCTTAGATAACATGGTCTTGATTATGGATTTGCTTCTAGTTCAGGATATCAGTTTCATCCCAAGCATTCGCCCCTGTATAAGATTTTCTCCATGGATTGCTTAGAAGTTTATTGAATCAAACAAATCTTGTGCTGGCTGTATAATTTTCACGCAAGATTCAGTCCTTAAGATCTTGCTTGAAGCATTAACCAGAACTTGTTTACAGATGCTGATAGTAGCTGCTGTTGACCTCTTGAATTTCTGAGTTCTTACTTTCTAAAGAGTTGATGTGTAACAGTCTCTTCTTCTACCTTCAGCATCTTAATGATTTTCTATCTCATTGCAGAGGAGAACGAGCTTGAGACAACTGAACAGAACCAGAAGGAAGAGGTTTGGATATCTTCCCTGATAAATGATTCACAATTTCCAGACTCACCCCGTTTCATTTCTGATTATATTGAACGTAACTAAGTGTATGCTCTATCAGCAGGTGTCTGTACAAGCATATCCTGAACCAAGGCCCTTTGTGTCTTTTTTGAATGGAATTGGCATTGTTGGTATTGGTGTACTTGGTGCACTCTATGCTTTGACCCGGAAAGAAAAGAAAGCTGCTGATTCAACAATTCAGTCGGTATGTAGCACAATTTTTTTTTTTTTATCAATTTCCTTTGCCAACTGTTATTTTTGTGATGCTGCTCCTCTGCATTTAATGTATAATTTGGTTTAATAGCTTAGTATGATACAAGTCTAAGGTGATTGCTACATTTGTCTCTTGGGCAGATGACAGTTGAACTGAGCAAGAAGGTAGCTGCAATCAAGTCGTTAGAGAAGAACTATGAACTACAGCTACTGAATGAAAGGGAAGAACGGAAGAACCAGCTCAACAAGGCAACAGAAGAGCAGCAGGTTTTGACAAATCAATTAAACTCGGCCAACAATACAATTAGAGGTTTAGGGAATGAGCTGACAAAGGAGAGAAAGGCCATAGAGGAGCTCAAGCTTCAAATTGAGGGTCTAGAGGACAGTTTATCAAAGGCTGGACATCAGAAGAATGCTCTTGAACAAGAGCTGAAGGAAAAGCTCAATTCTATTGAAGGTTTACAGGAGAAAGTTAATCTACTCAATTTAGATCTGAAACAAAAGGAAGAGATGGCTGAAAAGCTGACCTCTTCACTGGACGAGAAGGAATCAGAGTTGAAGAATTTGAAGAATGCCTATAAGCAAGCAGAGAAGGACTTAACTAGAGCACACACGGAAATCAGTGGGCTGAAAGATGAACTCTTGGAGACTAAGCAGCAGCTGGATTTGAAGAATGCTCTTGTGGATGAATTAGGGTTGGAAGTAAGTTCTCTGACTTCAGAGAGGGATGAATCTAACAAGAAGCTGGCTGGTATCCAGGAGGAGTACAATGATCTCAAGTCATCTTCTGAACATAAAGCTGCGTTGGATGCTAAGCTGTTGGGGGAGAGAGAAGAAGAGATTCAGCGTTTAACCCAGAGCCTTGATCTTTCCATCAATGAGGCGAATGGAAAAGAGAAAAAGATTGCAGATTTGGACCAAGAAAGGGAAGAACTGAAGAGGGTGCTGGAAGCTGAATCGAGCAGTGCAAAGAAATTGAAGCACGAGCTCCTCACAACCCAGGAAGCTCTTGCTAAGTTGCAAACTGAAGCTTCAGGTCTAGAAACCCTATTAAGGCAGTCTAGAAGTAGCTGCACACAGCTTGAGGCCGAGCTTGCAAGTGTTCACGATGAGTACGATGCAGCTGGAGAGTCATTTCGGAAGGGCATCGAGGCAGCAAAGCAAAGCAGCGAGATATTGGCTCATGAGCTTACATCAGCAAGGGGGCAACTGAAGAAAACAACCGAAGAGCTGACATCCGTGTCAAACGAGCTAGCAGCAGTGAGAGAAGATCGTGATAACTTGCAGAGCGAGTTGGCGGATGTGTATAAGAAAGCAGAAGCAAATGCCAAGGAACTGATCGAAGACAAGCAGTTCATTTCCTCTCTGCGCAAGGAGATACAGAGCGTGGAGCAGCAGGTGCTGAAGGATAAGGAGGCGAGGAAAGCTCTGGAACTGAGCTTGGAAGATGCGGCAAGATCCATTGCTGAGAAGAACCAGAATGCAGAGGCAATTTCCAAAGATCTGGAGGCTGCCAGGTCGGAGATCTCGAGGCTGGTAGACGAGAAAGAGATGTTGAACAAGTCGCTTGCCGAGCAGAAGAGTGCAGTGGCGGAGGTGAAAGAGAACATGGAAGATGCTCACAGCATGGTTTTGAGGCTGGGGAAGGAAAGGGAGGGCATTGAGAAGAAGGCCAAGAAGCTCGAATCGGATTTAGCTTCTGCCAAGGGTGAGATTCTGAGGTTAAGGAGTCAGATGAATTCGGGGAAAACTGTTCGGAATGATGAGAAAGCTGTTGTTAAGGAGGAGGAGGACAAGGCTCCGGTTAAGGCTGAAGCAGCACCAGTAGAGAAGGTCAGTGCTGGAGTGAAGAGAAGCCCTCGAAGGAAAAGAGCTACTGGTTCCCAGTAACCAGTCCAGCATGCAAACACTCTCCACTCCTGGGTTTTTTGCTTGCGAAATTCTTTTACCCCACTTTTTGGCCGATTGAGAAGTTTTTGTGTCCCTATAATGAAACTTTTGTATAAACTTGGGGATCGTAGCGTACGAATGAGAAGTTCAGGCGTGTAAAAGCTGAGAGGTAATTCTTGTGAATAGAGAAGTTTGTTGGATTGTTGCTCTCATCTGGTTAATGCTTTAATTGTGCTTGTTTGCTTAAACTTAATAGAATTAGGGCCTAATCTCATACGTAAAAAAAATTTAGGACTTAATTGGGGTTTTCCCAAAAAGTAACCTCTCAAAAAAGGGAAAAAAAGGGACAAACAGAACAGAAGATAGAAGACTTCGCCCAACCAGAAAACAAAAGAATAACAGAGCAGAGCCGGAAGGAGTCCTCCGGCCGCCCTCTTCTCCGGTCGTAACTTCTGCTTGCTAACGTGAAGGAATAAGCATATCTCGTTTTTCGTTAACCTCTTTCCTTCTCCTTCGTCTTCTTCTTCTGCAGCTGCGAGAATTGTGGAAATTTATGGTTTCCCCAACTCCCGTTTGCATCTTACTTTCTCTCCAATCCGATCCACAATTCGCGTGCTGATTCCAGTTCGTCGTCGCTGCGCAACTCGTCCGGCGCCGCCTTCAGTGAGCGACTGAACTCTGTCCCGCCCACTGGTTTCCTTCTTCGTTCTGTTCCTTGTGTTTGGAGTTTCTCCCGATCTGCTTCGTTAATTTTCCCCGCTTCCGGGGGATCAGTCCCAGTCATGTTCTATGGTTCAATTGTATGGGATCCATGGCTTATCGTCGCCCAAATCGTGTGCCTTCAATGCCTCTACTACCTCACCCTCGGATTCTTCCTCTCCGTTTTCGTTGGCACCCGCGTTTCCCGACTGAGTCTCGTCTATTTCTTTGATTTCGTCACCGTCACCGCGTCTTCCGTCACTGGATGGTGCGTTATCGCCTCCTTCTTGCTCAGCTCCCTCGCCGGGTAAGCAGTTTTCACCCCCTTAGTTTCCTCCTGGCTGGTCACTGATAGGATAATGCTTTAGTGACTTGTACCTAGTTGCCTTGGTAGCTGATGGATTGTCTACTTGTGTATCTGTTCTAGATTTCTATGCAGACTTTATTTCGTAGGAGGCTTGTAATGATCTGATCATTTTTAACTGTCCCAACGAGCTGTGCTTATCATTTGGGCAGCATCCGGTTAGGTACTTGGTTCAGTGTTCTGACTTCAGAGGGTAGTGTGTTATACGTCATTTTGAGTTGGTTAATCTTCAAAGAGTGTTGTTTAGTTGGATGATATCTCTCCAGCATCAGTTCATTTGAACTTGGTCTTTACTCGAGTTGTCAAGTTCACGACTTTTTACCTAGTTCTTTTGGAGACTTGAAAGTAGAGTTCCGGAGGGAAAAGAAAGTCATGGAACAACTTTAATTCAATGTAATGGCGAGATTTGGCATTCTTGGCACAATATCCTTCATTTGGTAGTCAATGGCGATGTGTGGCTCGCACTTGATTTCGATTCTGGTACTGACTGAAATGAGTATGTGGAATCTGATGCTCTCCTAATGATCTTAGCTTGTTTTCTTTACTGGGTATTGAGGTCATATGAACACAAGAGGTTGTTTACAAACTGGTTATGGCTATGCATTTATGTGGGTAAGAGTTATGAATTGCATACTATCAACTTGGATTCATCATTTCATCAATTTCGGCACGCCTCAGTCCAACCTAAACTGGCATCGAGACCATAGGCCTACCTCGTGTGGACTCTATATATTGCTAGCTTTGATGGGAAGCTGGAATGAGCACCAAAACTCTAAAGTGCCGAGTTGGCAGCTTTGACATCAAAAGCATAAGAAAAACGGGGGTGGCTTATGTTTTTGGGTGCATAGCACAGGCCCCCTGCATTATTATGCCGCATACACAATTTATGATGGGTTGAACCTACTATTTACTTCCTTTCGTTACATACTTGCTTAATTGAAACTGATGCTTCTTTTTCTTAATTGTCGGCTTGACTGTATTCTTAGATTGTAAATTTTGCAGCAACTTTTGACGGTGTTTCTTCTTTGAAACTGTCATCCTTGTTTTTACTTGCATTGGTTTGTAGCTTATTCTTCATGAATTCTTATGTTAGATATGAGTATGAGTCATAGGAGGATAAAAGCCCTATGCATTTCGTTTTGTGGCATTGCTTATATTTGTTTTTCTGTGCAGCGCTGGATTTATGCTTTATTTGATTGAGAGGGCAAAGAAGTGCTTAGACTTTTCAGCAACCGTCTACATCATCCATCTCTTTATATGCTTGATATATGGGGGATGGCCTTCTTCTCTGACATGGTGGGTTGTGAACCTCACTGGACTTGCAGTGATGGCATTGCTAGGCGAATACCTTTGCATTAGGCGTGAACTACGAGAAATCCCTATTACCCGATATCATCGACCAAGTAAGTTTATTTTTTCTTGCAACATAAGCTTGCTTTATCAAATACTACTGAGAAATTTCTCCTTCTTTAATCCTAGAGTCCCCAAGTTATAGGAGGTTTGCATTTCTTGATCTGGGTCATGGTGGACACTAGCATTTTGGAAAATCAGAAAAGTTGTTCCTCTAATTTTTGTAATTCTTAGCCCTTGACTTCTTCAAAGTAGCTGGTTTGATTGATAAGTTACTCATGTCCATTTCCATGTTATTGGCCCATGTTTCATCTGTACACAAGTAGATTTGTGATACAGGAGCATGTCTTACATTCGGTGTTGCTGTTAGGCCTCCTACCGCTTCTTTCTTTTCTGAGTTTTGATGCTATCTGCCTATTTCCTTTGGTTCTTTAATCTTGATAAAAACAATTCCATGATCCTGATGGAACTACATTGAACGAGGTAGTTGAAAAATCCGTGTAAATGAAGTGTTTGTTCCCTTTTTGTTGGCTCTTTGCTTCTGTTTGGTTTCATGTTTTTTTCTGTTTCTTTCCTTTCATATATTTGTTTGTTTTCATCCACTATCTCTGTTGCCACAAATATGTAATATTGTTGCAAGTTCAGATGTCCTCAAGTTCTTAGGTTTATTATGCATGTTGCTTTTGCTGACCTACAGACTACAGCAACACTGTACTCCAATCTACTACACGAAATTGCATTGACTGGACATTGTTGTCTGGGTTATTCATTTTAAGTTCAGTCTGTTTCTCTGAGCTGATATATTTGACATCCGTGCTTATAATATCAATCTATTGCCTGCAGATGTTTGACATCCGCGCGAGAGCCTTCCCGACTATAGATAACATACCTTCTTCAGCACTCAACAATGTGGATAGACACAGATTCATGAGCTTTTGAGGAGGCCCCTGCTCCCTGCTATCAAGTTGTCCAATGCTACAATAGGAAGAAGTGATTTTCGTCAATACAGTATTCATCTTTGTGTTGTTGTGCTTGAAAGAAGCAACAGAGGAATGGGCACTCCAGATTTTGGGGTTGGTTCCTAATGGTTGGGAAAGGGAGCGCTGAGAATAGGTTTGCATTTTGTTTCAGTGAATATGAATGTAAAGCTTTAGTTGATCTTTTACTTTTGTCTTTCGGGTTTTGCCTGTGTGGTTTTGATATTTGTTGCGATTTCTCCAGTGGCGTACCTGTTTAGCAATCAGCCGTTTGGACACGTTGACAAATGGAATAAAAAAAAACAGGTGGCCGTCCTCTAGTTCAGCCACCTGGGTATTTGACCAAGAACAATGGGTCTCAACTCTCAATTGAGAGCTCAGAGAAACTAGTTCAACCCACAATATGTATGTATTGTTTTAGGATTGAGAGCTCTTGTCGCATAAATAGGGTAATAAGGGTTTGGGTTCTTGTGGTTGAGCTCTCGGTGGGTTTTGGAAGGTTGAGTCGATGGGGTTGAGTCACAAAATTTGACTAGATAGATATAATACATTCGAAGTCTCTACCTCAAATTCCATAAACTGTTCAAAACATCATATTTGGTTCACATATCACATGCAAATTGATATAATGTGGGATTTCAACTCAAAACTCTGCAATTTTCAATTCACTCATCGAAAGGATCCACACGAATCGTATAAAATCTAGTCTTTTAAATGTATATGTAACTCTATTAAAAAGATTGAAAACTGTACCGTACCGGCGGTTCGATCAGAAAAATCTCCTACTGGAATCAAAATCGGTAGGTGGTATGAAACGGTTGAACCATGATTTCAGCATAAAATACTCTGTTGCTGACTTTTCCGGTACACCGAACCTCGATGCATATTCAGAAAAAACAAAAATTGTAAAATCATACAGAAGGTCGTACCGGAAAAGTTAGCATTTGGTTATTTTGTGCTAAAATTGTAGTTCAATCGTGATTAAATAATTTTATACAGCTAAAAATCACCTGGCGATTTAGATTCCGTAAGAAGTTTCTCTATTGGGCTCCCATTACGGCACAATCGTAGTTCAACCTTGGTTCAATCAGTGTTGACACATTGTAGCTCCTTTCTTAAGGTGACAACGAAAGTGGGAAATGGCCTTTGGTGTAGGCTTGACACGTTGCTCCAAAGGCCATACCGGAAAACATAGCATTAGGGTATTGTTTTGCTAAAACATAGTTTAACTGTGGTTAGATCAGGCTTGACACGTTACTCCAACCCGAGTTTCGATCATGTTCATAAAAACCAAAAATTGTAAAACCATACTGAAAATCATACAAGAAAAGTTATCATTAGGGTATTTTGTGCTAAAATCGTAGTTCAACCATTGTTAAATCAGGATTTTGTGCTAAAATCGTAGTTCAACCATGTTAAATCAGGATTGACATAATGCTCGAACCCAAGCCTCGATTTATGTTCAAGAAACCAAAAATTGTAAACCGTACCTAACGTCGAACCAAAAAACTTGGCATTAGAGTATTTTGTGCTAAAATTGTAGTTCAACCGTGGTTAAAATTAGGCTTGATACGTTGCTCCAACCCGACCCTGGATGTATCTTAAGAAAAACTCAAAAATTTTAAAACCCATATCGAAGGTCGTAGCAGAAAAATTAGTTTTATGGTATTCTATGCTAAAATCATTGTTATAAATCAGGCTTCACACATTCCTTCAACTCGAGCCTTATGTTCAGAGAAAATAAAAAATTGTAAAACCATACCGAAGGTCGTACCATAAAAGTTAGCATGAGGACATTTTGTGCTAAAATCGCAGTTCAAATATGATTAAATAATTTTTATAGCTACAAAAAATCTACTAATTTAGATTCTGTTAGGATTATTTCTAACAGACTGTTGCTAAACGCGATAACAAATAAATACGAGTTTGCAAACAATACATCTAATTCTATGAGAAGCCGCAGTGAAACGCGGCACAAAATCTACCTAGTTTGATATAAATAAAAAATAAACTCAGCAATTCAAGATATATATTTCTCTCTTTTTTAGCAGATAACTGACATTCTTGTTTATTAAAGATTTAAAGTTTTTAGTCTCGAATATTAATACAAATTAAAATTATTTGAATTAATAATTTCTATCCTCCGATTTCCATTAGCCTTAATTAATTTTACTAGATTGTGGCCCGGCCGATTGGCCAGGTAGTTTTTTTGGTGAATTAATATTTTATTTGGCAAAAAAACAAATCAGTGAATGAGTGTCCAAATCTCTTCATTTTTAGTTAGAAAAAAAATATTAAAATTTTTAAAGGTTTTTACAACTGGACAACTGAGTGAAAATACCAAGAGATAAAACGGCGTACGAAATTAAAATTTCAAAATAAAATTTTAAGTTTCGTCTTAAAATTATAAGATAATTTGTTTATAACTAAGTTAATGAGAAAATAAAAATTTTCTTATAACCTAAAGTTAAAAGGTTATCCATGTGAATTAGATTTTAAAATAAATAAAAATAATTAGCTTGGACTTCCAAATCCATTGATGGATAAATTCTTGTGTACCCATAAAATACGCCCCTTAATCAATAATCCAATTTTCTCTCTCTGTCTTTATTTAAAATATATATATATATAAAATGAATCTTATTACTTATTGAAACCCCAATTTTATTGTTCTATCGAAAGAGTAATTTTACAATGTTATATAGCATTGGTACTGTAGATTTTTGCCTCTATAGTACAACTTGATGATGGTATATATCTCTTTCGTTTTAAATCAAAATTTACAAAAATCAATTGCATAGAATAACCGATTCATTATGGTATATACAATAATATCAATTTTTCTATATTTTGAGGGGGAAAAACAATTCTTCAAATGACGTGTTAGTTGTAATTTTGTTAGTGTCATATCGTCATGATATGACAAATTGTTAGTGCTATATTTCTTTTGTTTTAACTCAAATCTTAAACTTTGCGCATAAAGAAATTACTAATTGTTATATGTACAATGATATCTGATTTGCTATATTTTGAGTAAAAAAATGGTTTTAAAAATATATGCTTGTAGGGTGCCTTCTACGGTACCCCGGGTGAAATCCAAGGTACCGCATATCTTGAGTATGAAAATATTATCTAGATCTCGAATTAGCGGGATTTTTGGACTTGATACTATACCCTAACCCTTAATGAGTGAGCCCTAGTTCCTAATTATCTAAATTATAAACTATAAACTCTAAGATGATGCATTCATTTTTTGCCTTTATTGTGACGAATCATAACCGTCGATTATTATTCTAATTAAATTGATCTTGGAGTATTAGATTTAGAGAACTAAGACCTAGATTTTGATCTTTAAGAGTTAGAGTATATTATTATGCCCGAAAGATCAGCCAATTCATGTCTGAACAGCGTTTTCATACTCAGGGTATGCGGTACCCTGGATTTCACCTTGGGTACCGTAGAACTCCCCATGCTTGTAGTAGTTTTATCACTGTCATAGTATCATATCATAATTTACCAGTATCGTGAAACTGGCCGCACTATCACATTATGATAATGTCATAATATGAAGTTATATGATGTTAGTATGATAATAATTCATATCAAAATCTCACCATTGTCATATCATAATGTTACCACTATGGTAAGATTGGACATCACCCTCATACCACTGTCACATAATGATAATATCATGGACACGCTAGTGGTAAGATGACATGAAAAAAATTGCCCAAAAATGTCAAAACCAATATCATCTTGTAGAGCATAACTATGATCTTTCTATGCAAATATTTTTGAAATGCGATGTAAAACGAATGAAATATGATCCTTTGAATTTTAGTAGAAGATTTTAAAAAGTTATCTAACAGCACCCTCTAGAAATATGTGCTTGCCGCCCCAAAATCACTTATTTCCATTCTACCGCTTTGCGATATGAACCATTTGATCTCCCCTTCTCAAAATATAATAATTAAATATGATTTTATAGAATCTTACGGGAAATATTTTGTGTTTGAGCCTTACTCATTCTTAGTACCTATGAAGGGATCAGTTCTTTTAAGGAAAAAAGTCTCAGTTGAATAATATACGATATATTTTGGTTCTCAAAGAAAAGATTAGGAATTTTTAACATTGATTTTTTTATTAGGATCGGAGTGATTCTTTGACATATTAGAGCAAAGTAAATGAAAAAGAAGGAAGCCTACCAAAAAAAAAAATTGAAAAGGAAATAAAAATTTTAGTGTCAGGTGGCTTCAAAAGATTGGATTTCCTAAAAATAATGAGTTTGTATTAGCATAAGAAATGGATTAGTGGTCGTGGGCTGATGGCCTTGTAGAAATGAAAAAAAAAATAAACGACCGTAGGATGTAAAATGTAAAGAAAATAAAAGAAGTAACAGTAACGGACGGTTTTAGGGCGAGACGAGAAAGGCTAGGGAGGAGAAGACTAATTTATCCCCCGAGTTATGCGGTTTAAACAGCACCGGCTGATGTGACAATGATTGTTTATTGACATTGCCTTATATGTTTTTGTAGACCAATTCTTAACAAATACAAGTACGTGATTTTGTTAAAAAATAAAGTTACGTGATTGTGTTGAGGCTGAATCTCCGTTACTACCTAATCTATAATGTGGGCTCTGTGGAAGTCTTCCAGCCCAGTAGCTACATTAGTTTCTCCACTGGGCTGCATGAGGCCCATGTTGCTTATCACATTCCTTTTGTTCCAGTTTATCAAATTAGGCTTAACGAATTGAAGTTTAAGCATCCACATCACATCAGCATTTGGATACTAGTTCAAACTCACAATCTGTTGATACTACACTGTAGAGGTGCCTTGCATCCAATTCACCAATTCAATTCAATCCAATTTTTCAACTTAAATATCCAACTAATTCAATTCATTTGATTCAAATCCAATTAGATTAGATTCATGAATTGTTTATAAATTATATTTTAGTACACGTACATTTTTATATTTTACCTTTTGGTACCTAAATTTTAATTTTTATATGAAAATACCATTGAAAAATTACATTTTTTACCTACAATTTTTCATTATGACATTTTAGCAGCTAAACTTTTCACAATTTACATATTGGTCTAAGACTAGGCTTTTATTTGGATTCATGGATCAATCCACCAATTCATATGATCCAATCCATATGATCTATGAATCCTCCAATCTAATCCACCAATCCACGGATCCAATACATTTTCCACCTCTACTACACTATATATTTTGTTAATGCAATTAATATTATAGACAAATTTTATTTGACGAAACTAATCACAAATCTAATTTGGTAAAGGCCATTGATTACAATGTGGTTTTGACAAGAGAGGATTGGAGTGTGATTCCAGTGTGCAAAGGAAGAAGGTTGGCGGCCTTGACAGAAGAAGAACAAGAGAGGCAAGCTGGTGAATAAGCAAAATAGAAGATGTTTATGGTTGGGTCTGAGATCAGGTTCGGAAAGATGGCATTTGATAAAGGACAAGCTAATGGAATTGATAGGATTGGGAGTCGTATGGTGCTCAACTGCTCATTGCTCAAGCAAAGAGCAACCCGATCATTCAACGTGAGAATAATAGAGGGAAAAGACAATATTTGATGGTGAAATTGTTTCTTACAAATCACAAGCAGCTGGTCTGTTGTTTTTCTTTCTTCGTTGCAGCAGCAATCGAAATGGCCAGGGTTCGATCCTGCTTTGTCGATCCTTTTCTTTTTCATTTGGAGTGCTGTATTGCTGCAATTGGAGTTGTCTATCGTCTTTTTCACTTTTCTCATCTTCATTCATGGAGTTTGACAGTCCCCCACAAGCTAGCGAGTATATGTCACATACTCAGGAACGGACCTAAGTAGTAATGAGGTGTGTCGGCCGACACACCTTCACACGGAATTTTTGTATATCTATGTTATCGCTTCATGCAATTACCTAATCAATGAAGAACAAGGCAGCCAAGATAGCACATGATTAAGTGTGTGCCTCTTACGCCATATTCGATGGTCTATAGCATCGATGATCTAAGAATCAAGCATCACCTAATGATGATGCCTACTAGCTATATGAGTTAAGTTTTCTTGTCTCCCATGATGGTAGCATAAACAATGCATACAATAACACATGATAGAACCATGAGCATCGATGGTCTAAAGTATACGAAGACTAAGCATAGAAAATTTAAAGTAATATATGATACAAGCATAAATCAGCTCAAGCATTAATGATAAGATCACTGAACACAATAGGCATCTCATTAAATCATAGAATGTGCTACACAAACATTATCGAATCACATCCCTCAACAAATCAACTAGCACAACAAATGAGAGTAGGAACATCACCAATGATGAAGAACATCGATTGTGAATCATCCTTGTCGAACTCTAGTAGAGCTTCGTCTCCTCTCTCTATGGATTGCTACTCGTGCCCCTTGGACAGAATGCTGGTAAAATGTATGTCTAATAGAGACCCTACCATTCTTTGAGTAAGGGCCTAAAAAAAAAAGGTAAACCAAGATTAAGCCTAAATATTATAGCAAACTTATATGAGATGAAGAGTATAATAGATTTGTTGACATTTGCTGTACTTAAAGCGATTACGACCCCTTTCCAAAGGGGCAAAGAAAACATTGTAAACGAAAACTGCTTTATTATTATGTTGTGAAAACAACTTTATTATAAATTTATTTGGCTTACAATAGAACCATTATTCCTTATAATAGAAAAGCAAATAATTTAGCACTTAACATCTTCCTTGTCATAAACGATGGTGGCGTTTGAGGTGGCAATGCTCCTCAAATAACATACCTTGCTATTGTCACCAACATTCTTGTAGTTGTATAATTGCTTCATATCCAGTACTTCATCCAGCCACGAAAAGTTCTTGACAATCCAAACGCCATTGCCAATCTGCTTATCTTTCAAGGTGGTAGTCATCACTGCTCCAGATTCAAAGTTGTTACACGTCTTCTCATCGTCGTACCCTGTTTCGATATCTGTTCGCTGAACATCATTTCCGTCACCTCCAGTCGACGATGGTACCATTTCGTCCTTGTTCGATATGGTAAACTTCTTCACCGAGTCGAACGAAAGGAAGTTAGGGACAGTACTGGAGTTCTTCACGAACGAAATGCTATCGTTCGAAAGAATGAACTGTTCTACTCTGCTGCTGTAGTTCCACACAGAGTCGAATGCCATGTACATGTTGTTAGTGAATGAAATGCAACATTTGGGTGACATGACTAGTAATTTTTCCGTGCGAGGATTGCACCCATCCTTGTGAAGATATCATCCTCTGTGCCTTGACTCGCGATTCCATGACTACCCCCTTCATCGCCATAGTCGATGAGAGATGCAGTGGTTCGGTGTTGCTTGATACGAGTTCCCCTGTTGTCTTGCTGCTCTGGTGGTCCAACCATATGTGCAAGTTGGCATCAATGTACCATACACTGACGGCGTTCCCTATGTCGAAACTCAGATTGTGAATCCCTCCATTCAGCAGAGTCCCGAGGAAGGGAGTCAATTCGATGTCGTAGGATGGCAGATCGAAGCAGCCAATGCTGGCAACAGGATTCCACATATCGTTCCCTGCGCCGAAAATCACAGGGTAAGGCCAGATGGCGCCCACCACGACATCGTCCAGACGGATCGCTACATCTCTGAAAGGTCCGTCTCCGTGACCACCGAGAAGTTTGTGATTGAAACTATAGAACCCGGCCGGGTAACTTGACCACCACGTTTCGTCGGTATCGATGGGCGATACATAAACCTCCAACACAGCCCTGTAAGCGTTCTGAGGAATTTTGAACTCCTTGATTTGCTTCTCGTCAGCAGAGTTCTCAATTGGAAACCACAACCCATCTTTTGATTCGACATTTCGAGAAATGGGTAGGATCAAATCAGCAATATTGTTGGACACAAATTCGAAACCCGAATTATCAGTAATTATCTCTGGATTGGGGCTAGGGTAAAATGAGACGCCGATTGTGATGTGATACACTCCGGTAAACACACTATAAATCGTGTTGCGAAGGAAGACCGCGAGCTTTTGAGTCTCTTTCTTGAGTAACAAGGAAGAGTACCTGGTGATATCTTTTCGTGCAGTCCACGCAACCGATACATTGAGCCCCGGTGTTTGGGCAGGGGAGCTCCTGATGAGCTCCACCCCGTCTAGCCATACTCCGAAAATGGTGTGTCCTTGTGTTCCGTTGCAGGTTCCCGTCCATTCTAAGACAATCTTGGAGAAATTGTACGAAGCACAGTGGGAAGGAGGGCCATTGTAGTCTACTACGACGGGGGTTTGCCCATGGTGGAGCCGAAATCGTGTTCGAGGAGGAGTTGCTTGCAAGGCACGGTATTAGGGATGTCGATGGGTTTGGTTACTTGGAATACAGTGTTTGGTTTGGAAGATCTTCTTGATGGGCTCCTGTGGCTATGGAGGTTTGGAAGATCATCTTGATGGGCTACTGTGGCTATGGAGGTTTGGAGTAACAATAACAATGGAAGAAGGGAGAAGAAAGAGAAGCAAGACATCTTAGCATGCAAAGTGATAATTGGTAAGATTAATGAAGCTCTCTAATCTCTTTTATAGCCCCAAAAGAAGAGACCATATTCTACAATCAATTAATAACCCCTAATTAATTCACAAATCATATAGGGTAAGAGATGCAATATTTAGGAATTTTCCGGTTGTGTTGTAGGGAGAAGCCAACGTGAAGAAACAATTTTGTAGTATCTCTAGTCTAGGAAGAGAGAGATTTCACATATATGAAACGTTTTTGTTATGTAGTATGTTTCTAATTAATTAGACTATATATATGTGTGTGTGTGTTAGCTGTTGAAATGGAAGACCCTTAAGATGTCACGTTTCAAATGGTTAGGATTTTAGGTGACATAGAGTATGATAAATGCCTAAATGGTAAATCGTATTATTAGGCTAACCGCAAAATTCATAATACATCATAGAATCGAAATATAAATTTAACACGAATAGTTGGTTCAGAATAGGGTACATAACCCTTGGTTATGCACACTTGTATTGCCAGATGTTGACCCTTAGTTTTAAGTGGGGCCAGATTTTGAAATGAAAATTAATGACTTTGTTATTTTCCTACTTTTCTTTATCGCCTTTTATTTTCTTCGTTTTAATTTGAATTTCAAAAGTTGTGCATAAATTGAATGACTTCGTTGTGGTCTACAAATTATATACATTTTCAATATATTTCGAGATTTTTTTATATTATCACCAATACCACTTGTTACCACGTGGTATCACTTGGTACCGTCTTTGTTCTTTACTCGAATTGTGAAACATTTTGCCCATATAAAACTAGTTCATTGTGATCTATTAGATATACAAATTTATGAAAAAAATTTACAGGACAAAAATGCCAGCCTATACCACCCTAATACTATCATGCATTAACCATCATTTACAAGCTTTCATCAACGTAAACCACCAGTTACCACCATGAAAAACTTTGGTGTGTTCATACCATAGTGATATACTTCCATACTAAATATTATAATCTTATGTACTTATAAAATAGTATCACATGATAAGGACTAGTAATAAAAGTCTCTTTTTTTATTCCAAAATATATAAAAGTAGATGACATTTAGAAGAGCACAATTAATATAATTTTTCTTTTTAATTGTTTTTTTTTTAATTTTGACTTACAACGAAGAGATATAGTCCATTAAATTTTATTGAGAGAAAATTAGTAACCTTTTATAAATAATAACTTTAGAGTTATGCAGAGTTATGCATGGTTATATATGCTTAATTATGCATGCAACTGCTCCCCAAATTATTCTAATATGTTGATAGTTAATTACCAAATGACTGCCGGAAAATATCAATCCTTACCTTAATACCAAGTAGCAACATTAGCCAATCTGAAAAACGCATAACTCGACCAGGTCTTGATCAATCATTTTGACTACCACCGATAATGGTCAGAGACTCATTAATTTTAAGAATACTTAAAATGGTCTTCCACTACAGTCTTTACTCAAGTTGTTTGATAAATTAATTTTCTTAGAGATCCAAAATCTATGGTATGTTGAACTCTTAGTTCATTATCTGTCCTAATAATTTTGATTTGAATGAGGGGTTGTTTTGTATTGTAATGAATTAATTACTATAATAAATACATATATTGATATAATAGATGCATTTTAACAATACATTATTTAGTTGTTATAGTATAATTTATGTATTTATTTGCATAAAGTTACTTTATAGAGAAATTCACATTTACCCTCAACTTTTCGTATAAGGCAAAAAAATATTAGGGACATAAATGGAAAGAAAATGTGGACACAAATCTAAAACCAACAATCACAACATTCTCAACTTTTACTTGAGATTGTATAGTGCATCAATTGTTGTGATTATTGGTGGGGCCTACATAAAATAATGCATTCATTGTTTTCCAATTTGCCACTTCGAAACATTGAATTATGCACAATACATGTATCCAATAAACACAACTCTATCCAAACGACCTCTGAGTTTTAACAAAGATAGGTAGGTTGAAAATTACTTGCCTAACCTTGTTTTTTGTTTTTAGAAGATAAATCCAGGTATGTCAAGAATAATCATCCACACATTAAGAGATATAAAAAAACACCATTCACTATTCTTGTCACTAACTCCCACAAATCACACCCCTGCAAAAAACTTTTCATTTTAACAGCTCTAATCTGATAGTTGCTTCCATTGGAAATAGAGGGAGAAGTAAGAGAAAGACCAGTTAAGAACAACTCCAACAAGCAAGCCAAATTTCCAACAATGCTAAAACACTTCCTCTAACAACAATTGGAAAAGTCTAAAAAGCCATAAATTGGAAAATTTAAAATTTTATACCAAATACCCACAAGAAAAAGACAAAATTTGCCAAATTCTCTTTCATAGCGGCACCTCCTTTTTTCTTGAATCTGGCAACCCTTTTCACTATAAATACACTATGTTTTTTCACTTCAACTTCATCATTCGAATTTTTCTCTCATTCTCATCAAATTATTGTGATTTTTTCATTAATGACATCATATATAACGATAATTTTTATGTTGAAATTAAAAAAAAACATTATCAAAACATTCATCTTAATTAATTATTATTGCCTGTATACAAATAATCTACGAACTATCTAATTCAAATAATGAAATCTACATACTAAACTAAATTATCACAAAAAGAGAAGTTTTGACATATAGCATTTTGGCATTGCTCGTTGGAGCAAAAACCACTTTTGGAGGGGAATGGATCAGGTCAGTAACTTTATGGTGAGTAACTATGAGTAACCCGCCCACATCAGCATACTCTCTCTCCTGGAAAACCTTTAATTTTCCCCTCCTTAATCTTTGACGGACGATTTCTCACTCGTTTTAAGTCGAAATTTAATTTTTTTTGCACAGTTAGATCAAATTAATTGTGCTCTTCAAAATGATATCCACTTTGATATATTTTTCAAACAAAAAAAAATCGAGTCATTTTATACCAGTCTATACCATATGGTATTGACTGGTATTGAAATAAGAGCATACCTATGATTTGAAAAGCGTACCATGGTGGTATGGCACAAACCAAGACTGTAGGATGATTGAATACATGATAGTAGAAGTATATTAATTGTCATTTACGACTTTTAACATTGTATACCATAAAATACCATACAATACCACGGGGTGGTATTTTATGGTATTGTGTGGTATTTTTTGGTCTTGTAATTTGTTCACCCAGAAATTTGTAGATCCAATAGATCATGATGAACTCGTCCCTGCTGTGCAAACGTTTTCAAAAACGAATGAAAAACGAAGAAAATACCATATGGTATGCAGTTGGTACCGAAAGGCCAGAATTTTTTTTTCCTCAAAAAATATTAAAAATTGATCTCATTTTGTAGAGCATGATGAACTCGTTCCATCTGTGCAAAAAAAATTACAATCCGAGTTAAAACGAAAAAGATATGAGTCAATTAAGAAAACTAATGAAAATAAAAATGACATTTAATTCTCCATCCTTAGATCTAGATTTTCTAAATGAAGGGTCCAGATTTAGTTATTGACATGGTTATGCACCCTATCTTGAGCCCTTTTGGAGTGCCAAAATACCAAAACTATTTGACATTCTAACACTTTTCCAATTCCCTGCCGGAGATGATCTAAAACCATTAAGTTACGGTGAATAACATATGCTGGGTAAAAAAAAAAAAATGAGAGGAGCTCTCTCCTCTGTCCTCCGCCTTTGCTTTCTACTATGGGCAACTCCTGTTTGCCATGACTAAGACAGTGCTCGATGTTAGCCTTATCAATTAGAGGGTGACTGGAATGCTTGGGCGAGGGGAACGACACGATGGTCAGAGTGGTATCAGGGGAAAACGGAAGTTTTTCACCACTGCAGCTTCAATTCAAATCTCCAACGGTCAACAATGGAGCGACGTCGTCTACAAGAGGGAAGGAGACGATCCAAAGCGACACCGTTCCATCATCAGCAGAGTTAAAGAAGCGTTCCTGGGCTGACGTCGTTTTGGGCAAAATGCCAATTGATACCTGATCTTCTCATTTCAGTCTTTT